ACTTGTCCCTGTGAGGGATCATAACGCTTACCCACGTCTTGCACATGGTTCCCGAGATCATGGCTCGAGGGTGCGATCTTCTGGCTTTGGGGTGTGATCACGATTTGCTTGGAAGGGATCGGTGGATAGTGTTGATGAAGAGGGGCTTATCGGGGGTATATCACCGGCGTGTTGATGGAATCGAGATTCTTTATGGAGCGGATGACATCAGGGTCGACATGAGATCTCCCGAATGGAATTGGAGAACTTCTTTGCTCAACGGTGATAGAAGAGTCGATGACAGATGTGAGCAGTCCCCGCTTATGACCCCTCGATGGGATATGGTCAGGGGCAAGTAACCTTGCAAAGGGATGGGACAACGAGGGAGAGTTGGCATGGAGGAGGAGAGCTGGGATTAACAAGGTCTATACGCATCCTGCGTTATTGACGGGGTTTCTTCCAGGGGAGTAACGCGTGGGTATAGGGTTAAATAACCTTTTTCTCTACATTTACTCTCTGGATCTGGTGGAGGCGTGGTGGTCTCCCGCTCTGGAGACGTGATCGTGATTTTGCATGGAGACGGTCTATACACATAACCTCGCGGGAAGAGAAAAAGATGGGATTTTTCAATTTTTTTTTCTAGCTAGCCGACAATAGCTGGCGCGCAGGTAGGGGTCGTGATAGTCTCTTGGGAACGAAGGAGTATGTCGGCTATTGAATACTTCGCCGTGATGGGATGAGGATTAAGGAGGTTTAGTTTGTAGCAAGGTTGGTGATGTGAGTATAGATTCCGACTGTAGGGCTCGGCTAACACGAGAGCTTCTTTCTAACAATGGGTGTGTTACGATCGTCGTAGCTCTCTTAGATATGATGGGCACTTGATGTATCCAGTCTGGGAATCCCTGATTTGACATGTACAAGATTTCCCTGACACAGGAAACTCCCAGACTGGGACGATACGATGGAAAAAAGCCAGAAAAGTTGCTCGAGTAACCCAAACTGAGCATGCTAAATGGCTTGCAAGAACACCGACTGCGCAGTGAGCCCCTGAAGCCGATCTGGACGTGAACGCCACGTCATTTACAGGGGATCGTGAACATTAGACAAGAATTGGATGATGATCGGACTATCAAGTCGAGATTGAGAGGGGAATCTAGGCACATGTGTGGGCGGGTAGGATGATGTGTGTACGGGAAACGAGTCTGATGTTGTGGCGACAAAGAGACACGGGGAGAGAAAAGCACACAGGAGCGGGAAGAGCATGCCCGCGCATAAAGAAGGGACGAGGGCGGACGAGGATGGATGAGGACGAACAAAAGGCTTTCTGAGGGGTGTGTGTTTCTCGTGATTGCTAAATGTTGCGCAACACAATAGACCTCGGAGTTCCAGATATTCAGGAAGAAAAAGGCCGAAGAGGCGAGTCCAGGGTTCAAGCGCGCGGAAGAGACTTCTCGCAACAGGCGACGATCATCAGTCTGATCACCAGATGAATTTTCAATGTGGTCACTGCCTTCGTCCCCCCTTTTACTTAATGATATGCCATTATAGCCTTTTCACCAGCTTACCATAGCTTACTTCTGGTCTTGAGTCTACCTAGACTCCGTTTGATCGGCCTTGCGCGCATGGTGTTTGGTTATGTGTATGAGAGAGCGAGAGTGTAAGCCACAGCTTTGGAAAAGTATGACAGTGTAAGTGAAGTCGGTACGGACTTCCTGTAAAGGGGTAAAGGAGCTTACAGGATTGTTACTCGCCCATGCAAAAAAGGACGCGACTATCAACTAGATCGCCTTCGGTCGAACACGAATACCCCCCTTCCTTTCGCGATGACTAGCGTTTGATTTAGAGATTCACTTTTCCACCATCTTTAGAGACCGTCACCTCGTTCTTCCTTCTCCTTCTGCTCTCCTAGGCCGTGCGCGACAGAAATATGCGGCTGGTAAGAACAAGAAAAAGGAAGGAGGATAGACTTTCATGTAAGGGAGGGAGGAAAGCGACCACGGCGTCGAAGGCTTGTGCAGCCTGCCACGTGGAGGTGGACTGATGGAGGATGTGGGAATTTTCAAGGTCGCACTTTGCAGTGGGACGTTGACGGGCATTCTATGAGCGATGCTGCGATAGTATGCAGGTATTCTTTGTCCCTTCCTGTATGGCACAGCTTATCTGTAAGTGGCATGTCCTGGTCAATGGCGAGGGGCGGGACGGTCATCGCCGACGAAAAGCACCATTTTGAATTTGAACGGGAATGTATGCACGTGAGGGGTCTCTATCGAGGCGGCCGTCGCGGGAAGGACAGCTTACCATTGGGGGTGAGGACGGCCAAGAAAATCATGCTTGTCCAGGAACAAGAGTCGGGGTAATGAGAGTGAGAGAAGGGCAGGACCGCATGATGATCAGCGGCAGCCTCGATAGACGCAAGTGATGAGCTGATGATATGGTCAGCGGACAAGACGGCAGCGAGAGTTTGTGCCCTTTACGCTTCGGCGGCCGCCTTCGGGAACGGTGCCGAGGAGGAGGAGGAGGGCGGAAGTGAGACGCTTCTGTTCTGTAAGAAACGGAAAGTGAATGGACGATGCTTGGGCCAATCAGAATCCCATTCCCGGTGGCCGTCTGGACCAAGCCGGGACGAAAGTTCACCTTGTTCAACAAAAGGGATGGGCGAGAGCTGACTGAGAGTTTTGTACAAAAATGAGATGGGAGGCAAATGGGCAGATGGCGGTGTTGTTGGCACGGCGAAGGCAAACAGGGAAGAAGTCTGAATTACTAGTCATTGACCTCGTTGACTAAAGCTCGGGTCTGGCTCCCGAGAAGCTTAAATAGGTAAGAAACTATAAACATGGCCGTAAAGGGAAGTGAAATGCAGGAACTGATGTCCTGAGGGTGTATCGTAAAACTCTTTGAGCAAGCATTCTTTAGCCGCCCCTCCCTGGTCTTTTACCTCAAAAGAAACAACAATGGATATTCCCGTCTGCAAGGTTTATACACAATGTACAAGCTTTTTGGGCCCGTCAATTAGCCCCCGAATGTACCGACAGATCCCGATTTCGCGTGTTTCCGCAGAGGCGCGGGTACGGCGGTGTAACTGCTGCGGTCGTATGTGCCATAGCGAATCCCTGCCTCCAGGTCGTCGATGCTCTGGCGGATGCTCTCACGATAGACAACGTCGTCAACTTCGTAAAGGATCTGACTATGACGACTGCTTTCGCCCGACGCATTGGTAAGGTGGCTGTCAGGCCGGCCGTCTTCAGCACTGAAGCTGGGCCGGTGCTGACTTGAGGGCTCTGAGTTGCTCCTCATGTGTTGAATCTTTGGACGGCTGAAATTATTGACGGCTTGGCGCCGGGCCATTTCCGACTTTTCCGTCGTTCGACCCCTCGGAGCCCTTCTCCTGTCGGGAGACCTATCCGCGGGGCCTAGACTGGCTTCGTCCAGTTGGATGTTGATAGTGTAGACTGATTGATTCTTCATCACTGCCGGTAACGGCTTGTTGAGCGTCCCTTCACTAAACCTTTTGGTTGCGGGGGACTTTGAGGGAATTACGTCGAGCTCCTTCACTGTAGGCTCGTTTGACATCTGACTGGTTCTTGCCGAACCGGTGGTGGCCTTGTCGGTAGGTACTGGCTCCGTTGTCGCGCGAGTTTTGCGTGCGTTGGTGCCGAGGAACTTGGGAAGGTATTTGTTGAAGAATGGCTTTGTAGAGGGAATACTGGTGCAAATGATGCCGAGAAATAGCTCAAGGCAAGATACAAGCCAGTTGATCCAGGCGTTCCATGTGGCGTCGGGCTCCGTAGTCATGATCCAGGTGAAGTATGTCCGAGCAACACCGGCAAAGCATGCGAGGAATCCGGCACCAAATAAGAGGTTGACAATGGTAAGTTGTCTTGAGGTGAGCTTGTCGGCGTATACAATACGTACGAGGGCGAGGGGTAAGAGAACCACCAGGAAGTCCGTGACGGTATTGATGGTTCCGGCAACGAGAAGATGGGTGGATTCGTTGATGCAGTTCTGCGGCTCCAACGAGAGAGTCCAATAGAGCTTGAGAGGCCTTGGATACGTCAGTACTGCGCGTCTTTCACCATCGACGGAGAACTTACCGGCACTGCAACATAGCTACCAACATAAAGACGATGCAGTTGACGGAGATTAGCACCTGTAGTGCTACGACGAGCACTCTCAACTTATTCGATGCTGCACACGCGATTCTGTACATCAGAGCCAACATGGATAACTTGGTGAAGCTTGTTGCCAAGTCGAACAGGATCTGGCTGGCGAGGCCGATTTGAAGTGATCCCGTAATAGTTTCGGTAGGCACATCCCAGACATGCCGCCCCCAGCCATAGCTGTTCGTAGCTATGACTCCAAGCACCACGAAGCCCGTGGCTGGAATAAAGGCCAGCACGACGAGAATGTCGTCCCAGCCGAACCCGTTAGTGATACATCGTCGTGTATAGATCCGGATGGAGAGGATGACAGTGGCGATGGCCAGTAGGATGATGGCAACGATCTCGTTGGCCGGGCCTCTCGTTACTGGATTGACGAAGTTCGGGGTCGGCCAACTGAGAATGACTTCTACAGGCGGGATTCTCATATCGTAGATGGCGTGAACATCATGGAGAACGGGGAGTTGGCCACGACTATTGCTAAGAAGCGGAGGTGTAGGAGAGGTTTGGGGAGTATCTCCTCCTTATTGCGGCGTCCAAGGTGGTCCGAGTACACGCGGGGACGAAGAGGACACTGGACGAGGGGGGATGGGCAAATCGAATGGATGGGCAAAAAGACGTTTTTTTCAGCGGTGGTGACCGTGCTTGAGCCTAATCAACGGATGAAGGCAATGGCAAAGCATAACTCTGCTTGTGACATCAAGATGGTGATGCGAGCCCCGGCCAATATATCCTTTCGGTCTCGATGGTGGCCATCCCATCCCTGGCACGGCACTGCGGGGAGGGGGGGGGGGGAGTGGTGCGAGGAGTGAGTGTTGGCGAGACATTCTCAAGGCCGCACTGACGGCTTGAACCGGGGTTCTCATGAGGAACTGGTGGTGTCGTGTCGTGTTGTCTCTCTCAGTGTCCATTGGATATCCACGGGGCGGTGCTGAAAAGGGAACGATGGATGCTACTCCGTTGATCCCACGGCATCTTGGCCGGTTGCAAGTCTGTGTGAAAGAAGCCGGGAAGGCAGTAGACTTCGGCGCCTTGCTTCTTTGCGTAAGTCATCTTCTGGGGCACCGTCGCATCGCTTCTCTAGAGCCGTTATGGGAGAGAACGTCTCCCAGCCCTATTGTTGGTTTTGCAGCTGGGGTGACAAGCCCGTTTCTCCGGCTAAGGAGGCTCAACAGCAGACTAGGCCGTTTGACGCGGCAGACCCAGGCTCAGAGACCGGGGTCATTTGCCGCTAACGCAGCGGAACCAGTTTGAAGCTACCGAGACAGCTTTCACTTCTAGGTGTCAACAGTGTCAGAATCCTTTCATGATCGTCAGCGTCATGCGCCAGGCCTGCGATCATGAGCATGACATGTCAAGGGAAGCTGTCAGGTTATTTGACAGAACGGGTTGGCCGCTGGCAGCTTCATTCGAGCGGTAAGGTGCTTGTTGGTGAGAGCATTCAAACTCAGAAACCGGCCCTGGTCTGAATATCATCATGATGGTGGAGGTGGGCGGCCGGTGGACGTAGCGGAAAGCAGGCTAAAGGTGGGGAAGACAATGTGTTCCTGGATGAGGATCAGAAATGTTTGCATCCAGGATCTGGATTGGCGAGTTGTCTTCGAAGCCGCGCCGCCTTCTCGTTTCTCTTTGGTTACTGTGGTAGAGAACTGTTTGGAGCTTGGCAGGACGCACGGGTTTTGGGTTCGTTATGGCGCATTGACGACCGGGCGAGGGCATGATAAAACCGTACGTGTCAGAGGGTGTTGGACGCCATAGGCCCCAATTCGATTCTCGCCTGTTCGACCTCGACATCCTGGACAGGCCTCTTAATACGGCTAGAGGCAGGTCATCGTGTTCCCAGAGGCTATGCTGCAAGGCCCCCGTGATGCGGCCGCTCTCTGATATGGTAGTCTTGGCCTGTCAGGTTCCGGTCCCTATCACATCGGATCTGGGCGTTCCCATGACTGGTGGCGCCCCAATGCTACCTTGTCTAACGAACAGCGGATGCCAGGGTACGCATGTCATCAAGCGAAGAGGCGGCTTCATATGCAAGAGGATGGAATAGGATGGCGTACTTTGACGTGAAGTCGTTAGCTGGCAAGGAGTTGACAGCAGGTGTTAGTTGGAAGATGCGGCTTCCATTCGGTTCTTGAGCCATGACATGCTGCCCCACACCACGAATGATCTTAGTCATCAGCCAGACGACACCTCTCAAGTCACACTCAGCAACTCATATCGCAAGGCCGATTTCAACAACTCTACTATCCATTGCCTCTGGGTTCGTCAATCTCGCCACACTCAATGAAACGAACCAGTACTGTTATCTGGATGTCGTATTGCTTCTTCTTGCAGCCACCACGCGCAATAGCTGGGTGGCCAGATTGCTATTTCTGAGCCGTTTCCGAACCACCCCTCGTACGCTGCTGTTTCAACCGGCACACGATGATTGGGGCCCTGGAAGGTCGGCAGCGAATGATGTCGCGAGCGCACAGCTCGGTCCCGGTGTTCCTGTCATTAGCGGGCAACGGAGAAAAAAGTCTTCAGCCCTCTCTCCCTCCCGCCCGTCGAGAGCAACCCTCCGTGAAGCCAAGTTCCCCGGTCTGGATCATGGCTGGTGAAGATGCGATTGGGCCCTGAGATCAGGCCGGGGCTGTCAACCCCACGTGTGTCCGGCCTGCCATCAGCTGCGCCTCCCGGGGGCTACCCCTTACTTGACCGACTCAATCATAACGACACTTGACATGGGTTCATTATACCGCCTGGAGTGCTCACCTATTGTGCGCGAAAACGGGTAGATGACGGGTTCTAGACGGCACTGGACTTCTAGAATGCCCAGGCGTCTCGTATGACAGATTGTGAGAAGACATTGTGTTTCTGACGCGATATTCATGCCGCCTAGCGCGTGTTCGGGAAACGTCGGAAGCATGCTGGAGAGGATGACTCTTGGCAAGACCATCACATCTCAAGTACAGTGTGCTCTATGATATGGCTCGCTCATTCTTGCACCTTACTATGTGCCACCAAAGTGCCATCCGTCTCCCATGTCAGAGGCCACCAGTCCGGTATAGACTCGTCTAATTCATAGAAGCTATCTATCTCTTCAAACGCGTGGTATCGGTTCTTTTGCGCCTCGCTGCATCTATTCGAGTTGAAAATGGTTTCACCGTACTCGAAGAGTTCGAGGTTTAGCTCATGATTGCACAGAACAGCCCGAAAGGGGCGCCGGCATAGCAATAGATAGATGAGGCGAGGGCATATGCCGAAGCTAGCACTAGACGAAAGCTGAGAGAGAAGGCTCCTGTCTGAAGAGCCTGATACGGAGGCGTATGAATCCATTACGGAGCTCGGTGATCGGCTTACACAGCTTTAGATCTGGAAATCGTCTCTTCCATCTGCAAACTCCACGTCAATCCTGCTTCGATGCTGTTCCAATGAATATGAACGCTGCATTACTAGCAGCATTGACCGCTTACCTGCGTAGACGTCAGAAAAGACGGTGAAAGAGGGCTAGGTTGGTCTAACAAGTAGTGAAAGACTTCCTTCTCATGGAGTTCCTTTTTGGTACGGCGCAATCGAATGCGACGATGTCTTACAACAGAGACGAATTAATCATCACTCCGCGAAGACACCACGACGTTGGCAGGATCTGGGAAGGTCCGAGCTGAAGTGGTTCTGGCTAGATGAAGGGATTCTCAATGAGCGCGACGCAAGGAAGTTGAGCACGGCCAACTTCACAGACCGGATTATGCTCCCTTGCCAAGTTTTCTCCCCTCTCATGTTAGGATGCCATCCGGAAACGAAGATCATAAGTCAGGGCAAGTCGACCAAGGCGATCCGTGCTCTGCACGGGATGCTGCATGGACAAGACAATCGAATTTGCAGATTTGTCGATTGGCGACCTTCACTGGGGCTGCGGGTACAGATCATGAATTTGGCATTAGACGAGAAACTGACTAGGACTTATCATATCTCCCGGCCCAGTGGCCTTGGATCCTGTTGAATCGTGATTGTGAAATATCTGAGACGGCGTCGTCTAGCTTTGCTTTTGATGCTCCGGATCGAAGACGCCAGACTCGCGGTCTCGGGACAGCGAAGAGATTGGGGTGCTTTAACAGCAAGGACTTACGTGTGGAACTGGTAATTATTATTCGTTTTTTGGTGAGAAGCTAAACCATCGCAGACTTGATTAGACGAAGGGATGGTGAGTGCCGAGATCAAGGAGATATGATTATTGAGACATTATACAGGGCATGCGTTCTCGGACTTCAGTCTACTTCAGTCTAAACTTGCCATACGATGTGTTTCTCACCAAACAAAACAGAGCAAGCAAGCTTGCTGCCCGGGCATATCGTGAGCCGGAGCGATTGTGAATCATTTTCGTTGACGAGCCGACATTGCGTCCAACCGAGATGTCTGCCACTTTGCTTTGCCGGGGCTAATAAGAGACGGAGCTCAAGTAGCCGTCGATTCGGAAGAAACAGGGTTCGTGAACAGGTTGGCCGAGGTCTTTACCTCACAGAAATCTGGCGGATGCATCGTTGGCTCTTTTGGTGCAACATTGACGCCTCAATCGACAGCCTGTATCAATGCAAGTTCACCGAAGCAGGATAGGTCCGGGGTCGTCAATCTCAAGTCGTTCATGAAGAAACATCTTTGGCTGGTTCTTACTCTACAATGACGGGTTGTACATACTAAACTACACACTATCTTTGCTGACTTACGCGGTCAAGGTAGCCGTCGTTCTCTGCTGCTATTCACCTGGGAGCTAGCGGGCATCCGATTGGCTTATCAAATGAGAGACTCGGCGACCCTGGGGATGAAAGGAAGAGAACGGTCCGACTGGGCATGAAAACTGTTGAGGGGCGGTCGATGTTGGAGGATGGTCTCAGCCCACGGTAGACGGACGCTCAGGTCACTTGGGCAACTTTGGATGCTGCAGTGAGGTTGAGTGCGGGGCAGCTGCAGGCTCCGGGTCAGACCGGGGGCCGCTGGGGACCCCACCAGAACTGCTGATTGTGTGCTGTCAGCCTGCTGCTGTTGCTGCCATGGGCTCGGCCTGCCAGCGGCGGCACTCTGGCGGCACTCTCGAGGTGGGCAGCTGTGGTACCAGTTGCCCCTCCTGCGCAGCCCCTCTGCCCCTCCATGAGACAAGCGCAGCCCACCTTGCACTGGAGCTTTTGACGTGACCCAACCCTGAGGTCTTTTCCATGACTACGAAGCTCTCCGAATCTATCCTGCGTCATTTACACCCAAGTCCTTGATCTGATCTTTCACTCCTGACGGAAACTCAGACGTATCCAATCCTACCAAACCTCCCACGTATCACCAAATCACCACCAATTGCCCAACATGGCTCGCAAGTTCTTCGTCGGCGGCAACTTCAAGATGTAAGTTTCGTCCCATTGGCGGGGTCGACGATCTCTGCACCACCCTACCGGAGAGGGGCAGCCTGGAAGCTGCGGCTTCAGCCAAAACATCGTGAGACTAATGACCATCAACCTTGTAGGAACGGATCTGTTTCCGCCATCAAGGAGATTGTCCAGAACCTGAATAACGCTACCCTCGACTCCAACACCGGTACGTGCCATGTCTTTGCAGTCCTGTCCCGCCGTTGAGTTTCTCTGACAGTCTGCAGAGGTCGTCGTCTCCCCTCCTGCCATCTACCTCCAGCTCGTCCGCGACCAGCTCCGCAAGGACGTCGAGGTGGCCGCCCAGAACGTCTTCGACAAGCCCAACGGTGCCTTCACCGGCGAGATCAGCGTCTCCCAGCTCAAGGACAGCAACATCAACTGGGCCATCCTCGGCCACTCTGAGCGCCGCACCATCCTCCGCGAGTCCGACGAGGTCGTTGCCTCCAAGACCAAGTACGCCACTGAGAACGGCGTCGGCGCCATCTGGTGCTGCGGTGAGAGCCTCGAGGAGCGCGAGGCCGGCACCACTGTCGAGGTCGTCAGCAAGCAGCTTGCTGCCCTCAAGGCCGCCATCTCCGACTGGTCCAAGGTTGTCATTGCCTACGAGCCCATCTGGGCCATCGGCACTGGCAAGGTCGCCACCAACGACCAGGCCCAGGAGGTTCACGCCGCCATCCGCGCCTGGCTCAAGAAGGAGGTCAGCGACAAGGTTGCCGACGAGACCCGCATCCTCTACGGCGGCAGTGTCAACGAGAAGAACTGCAAGGACCTCGCCAAGGAGAAGGATATTGACGGTTTCTTGGTCGGCGGTGCCTCCCTGAAGCCTGGCTGTGAGTATTTTCGGTGCACCATCATCATGGACGGACAGCTAACATGGCACAGTCGTCGACATTGTCAACGCCAAGCAGTAAACAAGCCAGATTACAAACTTGATGATGATGACCTAAAATCAGGCCGTGATGGGCCGGGATAGACCTAGGATGACCCCCAAGTGACCATTCGTAGTCGCCAACTCCTAGGGCCGTAGACTTGAATAAAAGAATTATACCCCCCCCCCCCCCAAATCTTCTGAAGGTGGTTAGACCTGGTGAAATGTTTGTGATTCTTGAATTTCGAGTTCTTAAAGGGGTACTCTTTGCCCTCCCTGACGGGTCAATGTATGGTACACGCGGCAAAGAAGCTCCCGCTTTCGTCCTGTACACGCCTAGTTCCTTTCGTAATTTTACACGTTTTTCCAAATCGATACGCTCGTGCCTCTCATATTTATACAGCCATGCCATTTCCGTGGTAAGGACTCCAGACACCTCTGACACTGGGGTTGATACTGTTGACCGGCTTGTTGACCCTCTTCAATTTCTCTCCGTTGGCGTCGCGCAGAAGCTCAGCCTTTTTCAAGATCTCGATTGGCTCCATATTCCGAACGCAAATGGCCTTCTCGCGGCCGTTGATGTAGTGGCCGACAATGATGGGGTGTTTCGACGGACGGGGCGATACGGTGAACTCGACTTGGGGGTTTGCGGCGGCGAACTTTGGAAGCTGAGACTTGATGAAGCCGCTGGGTGACCGTTAGCAATGTTCTCGATAGTCTCCTTCTGAGGGCGGATTGGCGTACTTCATTCCCTTGGAGCTGCCGGCCCAGTCGCAGTAGTGAAAGTCCAGCTTCTTGCACTGGAGGATGAAAGAGCCCAGGCCATTCTGTAAGGACGTCAGCAATGGGTTCACGGTGTATTCGTCTTCCGAGGAACTTACACGGCCGGTAGACACCGTCTTCAATGCTCTGATCGTCATGGTATCCTGCTTGGCGCACAGAATCCGGTTCGCAGTCTGGATCACGAGAGGCTCCTTTCCAGGGACGGGGAAATTTCTTAGCGCGAAAATGTAGGATGCAGCCTGAGGTGACAGCTTCCAGAGGTACGTACCTGCCTGCACTCGAAGCTCCCGTCTGTGACCAGGATGGCTCGGCTGAACCGCGGCGATTGGCCAAAGGCAGGCTGCACTACAAACTTTCCCATGCTCGTGTCAATTTCATCCATCTACTTTACTCTGACGACGCGCCTGCTCCCTTTCCAAATCCCGACATCCCACCAAGCTCCGTCGATGCATCATTAGCTACGGCGCGACGCATCCCATCCGAGTCGACAAACATTTCTTGAATCGGGAATTTGATGAAGAGCAACTACAGCGATGACGGATAAGCTCCCTCCTAACCTGTTGGCGCTCTTCGCGCCGCGCCCTCCTCTGCGATGGGTTGCGCCGCCCGACCATGCGCCGGAGGCCCGACGAACCCTCCCCGTCTCTGGACTCGCCGAGTTCCTTCCCGCGCTCCAGCAATACAAGGAGGAGGACGACTACAAGCCGACAGAAAGTTGGCTTCAGATGCGCGACCGCAAGAAGCTTGAGAAGCAGGCAGCTGTTGAGAAGCTCAAAACCGAGGGGCCGAAGGACTGTTAGTTCTGCCAGTATTCATCCATCGAGAGTCTATGCTGATGTTTTCGCGATCTAGTTAAGCCGCACGAGGATCCCAACATTCGTGGCGACGCTTTCAAGACACTCATTGTTGCGCGACTCTCGTACGAGGCAAATGAGCAAGACCTCGAGAGAGAGTTTGGTCGATTCGGCCCAATTGAGCGCGTATGTACTCCCGAATACCTTTCCACACTTCGAATCGAGCTAATGTTTGTACAGATTCGCATCATCACTGACACGCATGCCCATGAGAGACCCAAGAAGAAGAAGAAGCCCCACCGAGGATACGCTTTTGTAGTATTTGAACGAGAGAAAGACATGAGAGGTAATACCGCCGAACCCACCCCCTCCGACAAGACTCGGCTTGTCTGCCAGTCGTTCCCCTTCAGACGTGCGGCCCTCAAGCTTGCCCGCGTTCTGCACTTCACACCGAGATCTGTGGCCCTCAAGCTTGCCCGTCTCAAATCTTGTTTTTCCTTCTTTTTACCCAGTCACGATGCAAAGGTATGATATCGTCAAGGTTTTACTGACACACGCGCCTTGGCGCACTGGTGAGTAGCTGCTCTAGATGCCTGCGATGGTATTCGAATCAAAGACCGACGTATCAAGGTAGACGTCGAGAGGGGCCGCACCGTCAAGGGCTGGGTGCCCCGCCGATTTGGCGGTGGCCTCGGTGGCAGAGGTTACACCAAGGCTCTTCCTGCCCGTCCCATGGGTGGCGGACCTGGTGGCAACTTTGGCGGTGGCTTCCGAGGCGGTTTCCGTGGCGGCTTCGAGGGAGGTCGCGGACGTGGAGGCTTCAGGGGAGGCGGTGGAGGTTTCGGTGGTCGTGGTGGCTTCCGCGGCGGCGGCGACTTCGGCTCCAGGGGTGGTGACCGCGGACCGAACGGATACGGCGCACCCAGAGACGCCCCTTCAGGACCTGGTCGCGGCTTCGGAGGCGATCGTGGTGACCGAGGCGACCGCAGCTTCTCCGGTGGTGGGTATGACCGTGGTGGTGGCCGCTCATATGACGACAGATCCGCTGGCGGTGGCGGCGGCGGCGGCTACCGCGACGGAGGCCGCTTTGGTGATCGGGACCGTGACGGTGGCCGACGGACTGGAAGCAACATGGAACCCATCAGGCCTAGAGGGGAAGGTGGGTATCGCGACCGTGGTGACCGCGGAGACCGAGGCGACAGAGAGGACCGGGACCGCGGCCGAGACAGAGACAGAGATTACGACCGACCTCGTGATGACGACAGTAGAAAACGCGGCTACGAGGGCGGTGGCTACGAGGATCCTCGCAAGTTGCGTCGTTACTGACGAGACACCTAGTGTCTTGCGGTGGGTGACGACTAGCTCGTCTCTTCTTTCCGTCTCTTTTCTTCTTCCCCTTCTCTCTCGAGGGTAAGCAGAAGGTTTCAAGCGCGAATTTCGAGTACCTCCATATTCGGACCAAAGAGAACTCGGACAAAGCTCGGATGCAAGCTTGGGGCAAGTATACGCAATTACCAGGCAGGCCAGCAGTGTTCACAACAAATCATCACACGAACCACCAACTTCCAAAGAACTGATTCAGCATCTTGTTGAAGGTAAACCTCGCCACGTGCATAAACAACCTGCCCAGGCTACGACTGCCGTAACAAGGAACTCCGACAACGGCTCGATGCTGCAGGTAAGGTCAGAGGTAAGGGACTCTGTGCCTACTGACCTGGAGCTTAGTGAAGGAGGATTCGTACCGGGAAACAATCAAAAAGGATGGGACAAATCCACATGTACCACGTTATAATTACTTGTACCAATAGGTGAGGACTTTTAGTTTCTTACGCAGACAGATCAGACGTCGTATCCGTACTTCAGCTTCCTATCATCCGGCTGCTCGAGTTGTATCCAGTCGTTGCCGAGAGTGCATATCATCGTCCCAGAATTCCTATGTGTTTAAAAGAGGCTGCTTCCTCAATACACGGGAAAGGGAAAAAGGGCCGGCCTAACGAAAGGTTGTCTCGAACTGGGGACCTCTCGAATTCTGAGAGTATTCCATCCGTTAAATAGGTACCTCTGCGCGCGAGCGTGTCATGGCAATTTGGCAGGCACCAAACTTTATATGATGAAAGATGCCCAAAAAAACGAACTACCCACGGCATTTTTCAGAGCCAGCCCGGCCTGCTCCTAGCCAATCGGAATGGAAAGGAACAGTCAAACCGTTCGGCTATCGACTACAACGGATGACGCTCGTTGGGGAAGCTCTGCACTTTTGCTCCCTAACAAGGTTCGACGTCCATCCACAACTTGTTTGCTTCCATGTCATTTCACCTCCGTCAAGGATGACAGAAGGAAAAGCCTGTTTTTAGTGGAAGAGATTGATGCTTTGACGCATGAATTGTTTTCAAGGAATAATAATCTAGTAGAAACCCCCTTCCGTTAAACGCCGTGAAAATTGTTTTTGTTGGTCCCACCCTTTCGCAATCCATGATGGTATCAAGCCTACATGAGGAAAGCAATCATCAAAGTCTAAAAGCTTTTTTTCATCTTTTTTACGTTTGTTCATAACATTTGGCTCTTAGTCGCTCTCGACCTCGACGCCGTCCATGGCGTTGGGGTTCACTTCGGTTACCTCGCCTGAAGCAGAGCTCCAGTACCTACGTACACATGTCAGTACTCGCAATTCTCGGGGAGCCGGCCTCGAAAGGAATGCGGGGGAACAAAAAGGGAACAAGAAACTTACGCAAGAACCTTGACCTTGAACTCGCTCAAGCAGATCCCAAACAGCTTCAACAGCCTCGTCTGCCGACTGTCGAGCACATCGCCCTCCTTGCAGACGGTGTATCCCTCGCCCTCGCCAGAGTCGTCGCCGCCGAGGCAGACGCGGCCCTTGACCATGCGCGTGGGCATACCCAGGCGTCGGAGCTCGGGCTCGATGCTGTGCTCCATGGGCACGTCGTGCTCGGCGGGCACCTCACCGCCCGTGGCGTAGACGACGCCGGCGGGGATGACGAAGTCGCGGGTGGCGACGGTTCCCGCGCGCGCGAAGTCGACGGGGGAGACGCCGTCAAAGTACTCGAGGATGGAGGCCGGGTCGCGGTTGGTGAAGATGAGGCCGACGGTGCCGGCGAGGAAGGGGGTGAGGCGCTCGATGCCGTCTGCGACGGCGGAGGAGGGGTCTTGGCCTAGGGCCTTGGCCATGAGTTTTGTCTTGCCGAAGAAGAGTCTATTAGGTGGCAGGGCAGGTCAGTTTGGTGGGTTTAGATAGGGGCGGCTCATGTATGAGCCAGTGTATTCTGCCATGGTGCACCACCATAGGTGCGGTATCACGGGTTGAGTAGACTTGGAGAGAAGCTGTAAAAAGAACGGACCTGCAGTCGTTGAGCTCGTGGCGGACCTCCTTGAGGTAGTTGTTGCGCATGTTGTTGACGCCAAAGACGAAGCAGTGCTGGTACTGCGGCACCGACTCGCGAATGTTGGAAAAGAGCTTGTCCTTTTGCTCGCGCGTCTTCTTGTTCACCTGGGTCAGGTTGACCACTCTGTTGCGCTTTGACTTGGGCATCTTGGCGGATTGTGCTGGGTTGTCGACTTAAATTAAACAATTGGCAAATATCCCCTTATTCGGCTTTCCTTGATAGTTGCAGGACGGCTCGGCGAGGTACTTCGTCGAATCCGGGAGGGTGGTTGGTGGGAATCGGCGCAAGTCAAGTCGTCGAGGTTTCGCGGTGCACCGTACAATGGGAAATATTTCTGGCCGACCGCCTTTGGCACAAAATTTCCCAAAATTTTGGCGCCCAGGTGCAGGAGGGACCACCGCCGCCGCAACTTTTTTCATGAACCCCGCAATGCGCTAGGTGGAACGATTATCCGCAGGGTCCCGACAGGGGTCACCATCAGTCACCGAGCTCACCGAGTGTAGATGGAGTGGTCAGTGCACCGGTGAAGGCAGTGTATTAGAGCCAACTCAAATTGCATTGTTCCATGAAAACGCCGGTTTCCTAACCATCCAGCGTCTCTTTCATTCAGTTCATTTATGTATATGGAAAGATCAACCATGCCATCTACTTGACTCACCAGGGTGATCTTACGCCCTGGGTACGAACGAGTCCCGCAATGCCAACTACCTCTCTACGCCAGGTACGTGTAAGTGTTGCCCTCGCGTTCCAAGTAATCCTTGTCAATCAGGCTATGAGGTGTTAGCAACGCTTCGTTCCGCCAACGATACGGAAGTCACTTACTTTTCTATTTCCTTCTTGATTTGCGCCGCATCAACTGCACCTCGGTTCTTGGTCAAGTTGATCACCTCCGCAACCAGCTCGCCGTGGCTCATCTCCTTGCGACTCTTCATGATGCGCACAATGGCTGCCTGTGTTTCGAACCGTCTGTCCTGGGCGATACGCTCGTGTGTCGCCTTGTTCTCTTCCTTGGTCTCCTTGAGCTGAATCTGGTTGATCTTAACTCGGATCTTTGGGTGTATGAATGCCTTGTTAATCGTGAACGTGTCCGTCGGGTTGACGTCCCTCCCCTTGGGACTCTTTGTAAGCACGCGAACCTGGCCGCAGGCGAGAGATTGCAATGTTCGGTTCAGTTCTTCTCCTTGCAG